GTTTTTAGCTATAAAACGGAATTGTAACAATGAAATTTGAAAGATAATAATTCGGGTATTTAATGATAACAAATTCCAATCGTTAAATTTGATAAATAATTTTTGACCTATAAACGTGAGTCGCCTGACTTATTTGACATACCCTAGATCTGCCTTTGCTTTATGTCTACCTTTATGTCTACATTTCTATAGTGGAGGATTCAAGCGGGGTCAGATTACATTATTGAAAATAGATTTCCATTTTAAAATACTTTGGAGCTATTGTGTGGTGACGCAATGTTGACAAATAACAAAATAGCGACCGAAATCAGTTCAAATGTTTGGGCAAACTGGACTGTCATAAATCGAAAGAAATGGTAATTTACTGTGTACATACCATATCGATCACTTTGTTAACTTTGTAAGAGGACGCAATTGGTTCGAAGTCCCCAAATCATTTAGCAACATGCCCAGACTCATATCTCATTTTAAAAGCTCCGTGGTAATTGCTTTGTGAACCATTCTTCGTAAGCTTTTCTAAATATAACGCATCTAACTAGCCGTTTGCATTAATTTGTAAAAAATTGGGAGTTTGTACGATGTCGTACGACTTTGTTTGAATATACATTTTTTGCATAATTACACATTCCTTGTTCTATATAGATTCCGCTTTTCTCATTCTTTGTTTTAACGATTCCGGCTTTTCTCATCCCTTGTTTTAAAGATTCCGGCTTTCCTTGTTCCTTGTTTTAAAGATTCCGGCTTTTCTCATTCCTTGTTTTCGCATTCCCCGTTCCCTTCCTCGATTCCTCGTTCCTTTTTTTAAAGATAGCCATTATTACTATGTAGTATGCGACATAAAAGCAACGAAATCACTCATGATTTACTTTCTTTGTTTCGGTTATGTTGTATGTTTTTTATTCTTCTGACACATATGTGAAGCTCATGTGTTCAGAAGAACAAAATGCTTTGTTTGCGATCTATTTAGCGCTAAACTCCACTTAATTAAATAATAAGGCACCGAGTAGTAAAATGCAACGATGTTAAAAAAATACGTAGTACAATTTGCATCAGTTGATGGACAAGTCCAGTTTTTGGCAAGTTTGCGTGAATGAACATTCATTTCGTATTAGCACTTTCAAAGCGATTACATGAAAGTCGACAAAGTCATACAGTCGTACATGACTTTCTTATATTGCAATCCACAACTAATGCTTTCTTCAAGGACAGTAATAGTGCACTTTATTTCTTGTAAAATGTACCTTAACGAAGTAGATATGTGTGGAACGTTCAATTTTACTGTCGTATGTTTAAGACCAATTCACCAACACGTAGTGTATGAGTGTAGTTAGACCAGACGTTCAGAGTAGGTTGCTTAATTATCAGCGCTAGCCAAGTACTTGGCAAATACGGCAATACAGCGGAGAATACCAATATTCTTCACATTCTATATAAAGTCGAGCTTACAAAGTCTTCAAAATATTTGTCATCAGGGCCAGCATTAATGAAAAGCGTTATAGTTAAAGCAAATTTTTTGGATTTCGGAAGATCCTATTTCCCCTTACTTCACTATTGCTACACAATTCATTATACAATTCGCACAAAAATGGCGCATGTGCATTTAGATATTTCTTCAAAGAAATATAGCTGCTGGGGGTAAAACGGGGGATAGATTGTTAACTGACTGACTGACTACTGACTCCTATGAATTTTCGCCACTCAACACTTCCCATGGAAACTTTGCACTAAAAATCAAGGTTAGAAACAAAATTTAATCACATATACTTGTAAACCAAACATTTTTATAAGGAAAGAAAATGTGTTCTGTGGTATTTATTTATTTATGCTCAATTATATATATACATAATAAATCCCATAAGCACTTAAAACTAGTTACTGAATTAACCCAAATTAAATATGAACAGAACCAACAACAGCAAGTGCAATAGTGGAGCAACAGAAAAATTGTATTAAGCTGGCACTGAACTCCCTTCCTCCAAAACAACGTCATTGTTGGCATTGAGTAAGAATCAGTAGGTGATTGGACGCGTTTCAAAACAAATTCTTACATCGGAATTATAAACACAAACTATTAAACATCTCTTAGAAAAGCCATGCATCAGGTGGCTATATATTACACCATATCTAAACATTTCACAACTGATTGCACTCTACATTAAAGCTTTGACATTGACACTTCAAAATCTAAATGATTGCAAAATGCAGTTTGTCTTAAATGATAGTTGTGTATACACTTTATAGCATGTTATGGAGTCCTTTCAAAAAAGTTGTCAACAGTTTGCAGCCTGATCCAACAATGTCAAGCCAGAAATTTGTTATCATCGTATTTACCTACAACAAGTGCAAATATATTTCGATCAAACTATATCTTGACAAAGGGCTCTGCTTATGAAAACTTTTTGAGACATACATGTCTTGTCTCAAACTCTTTCGATAGAGCTTATCCGGAGCAAGTGACTACGTATATGTTTTTAATAGTAATCTTCTATTTTTTTGTAATCTTAGTTCGACACCTAAGGTCTTTTTGTCATTAAAGAGTACAATATAGAAATATCTCATTAGACTGCCTGCTTCCGAATAACTCCCTGACCACTTATCGAGGCTGCTAAATGGATATTCAAACCATTTCTAGGATAATATGTAGACTTTTTGATGTCTATTACAACTGCTGCTGACGTTCTGGGACCGGTTGTATAAAGCTCTTAACTACTTTTTAACAACACTTTTTGCAGTTAAAAAGTAGCCAAATTTAATCATGCAGTTAAATCGGTTGTATAAAAAAGTAGTTAGCGCTAACTTCAGTTAAAATGTAGTTAAAGTAAACTATTCTATGGAGCATCGTTAATTTTTCAAAACACAGTTAAATATGGCGGCTTAACTTTTGAAAGATAATTATGGTGAGATGTTGTTCATCAACAAGGTTTTACCCATTGAGTTCTATAAGACCTGGAGGGAACATGTCATCGAAATTACTATAGATTATTAGCGCGCGGCCAGTGGTCAAGAACATTGCGGTGTCACAGTGATATGAGTACCCCCGTGTTTTAGGTATCCCGTAATTAAATCACTAATGTTTTGGGCATCCCCGGCAAAAATGACAGCCGTGTTTTAAAGTATCACCATCCAACCACCCAGCGGTCACAAATCACTAGTGATATAGGTTTCCTTATTCTTGTTCCCATTCCTACGCTTGTTTCATGGGTTTCACTAGTGTGGATTAAAGGATTTCCCCTGACTTAGCGGGAACAACACAATTTTGCGGGAAACAAAACTAAATTTCAGTATTCCAAAAACTTTGTGATGTGATAGATCTAACAAAATATAAAAAAATTTTTTTCAGTATGTTAAACATTCCGTGCATCCCAAGTGTTTTACCAAGCAAGACAAACTCGTCTTGCGAAAATTTTCAAAAAAATTTGAATACGGTAAAAAATTAGACTCGTTGTTGTACTTGGATAAGACAAAAGAAGGCACAGTAAAACGCTTATTTATATGTGTAGTTCAAAAGTCGAGGGTTTTCGAAGAATGCCATTCGGCAACTTACACAGGCCTCTATGGAAGAGACAATACTTTCAAGAAGATACGAGAGAGATATTATTGGCCGCATTGTTACAAAGACACATTTTAAGTTTTAAAATGACAGTCATATTTTACAAGCGTATGTACAAACCTTTAATGTTTTCCTAGATAAGACAGTGTGATAGATGTCAGCTTAATGCAGCAGGAAAAAGTACGTATGACGTTTTTCACTCAGTCAAAGTGGTTCCTCGGGTATAGTACCTGATTGGTATTGATCTCATTGATGCGCATACAAAGTCAAAAAAGGGAAACAAATTCCTCTTGACACAAACAGACTATTTCACACAATATGTTGAGGCAATTCCAATTCTAGATAAAACAGCTACCATTGTGGCAAAAGGTTCTCCTGCCCATATTATTGCAGACCAAGGACGAGAATTTGTGAACCAGGTAATGAAATACAATAGTCATAAGCTAATAGATTTTCAATAGTTGACTAGCACCCTCATTTCTTTCAAGGAATTGTCTGGGGAATATGATTAACATGTTAAGGGCTTTACATTCAGGACTTATTTCCTGAGAAAAAAAGCAGTATACATATTTCATTTACCAAAAGTTTTTTCTTTTAAGAACTCTCAAAAAAGTTATAAACAGTAAAGCTGACACGTGAGATGAATATACAGGAGGAACAGTGAATTAGCTATAACGACATATGCCGAGAAAACGTCCCAAATGAGGGATACTCTATTTCCCATTGCTGACTCGAACATCAAAAAAGCCAAGGATAAACAAAAAGCACAGTATCAGAAAAAGAAGGTAAACATGTATGCCAATTCAAGGATGGAGATACTGTCTTGCTTCGTAGCATGCTACAGAAAACAAACAAAGGGCATACACTGGTAAATCAATGGAATTGTCCATATAAAGTTATGTGGGCTGATGTAAACAGGGGTGTTTGCAGGTTGTTTAATCCATTAACAAACAAATCAGGAAGACAGCAACCAATTAAAAACCTAAAACTCTACAAACAAGAGAATAATACATAGCTCAAAGACAACTTCTGCGTTTTGTACACATCAGGTAAAAGAAAATTACTCAAAGGTTGAAAAAATAGAAGTAAAGCTGGAAGAGTTTTCTTATGAAGCGAAGCTGGAAGAATATGTAATTGGAGAAATAAATGATGAAGAAAAAGCACAGAAGAGATGAAGAAGGAAAAAAATATAATAGAAGAGAAAAAGAAAGAAGAAGCAAGCAATGAAGAAAACAAGAAAGAATAAAAAGATGATAGAAAAAGGGATGATGGAAGAAAAGGTGATAGAAAAGGGGATGATGGAAGAAAAGATGATAGAAGAAGAGATGATGGAAGAAAAGATGATAGAAAATGGGATGGAAGAAAAAAAGAAGAAGAAAAAAGCACAAAAGAAAAAACAGCAGAAACAAACAACCAAGAATTGGTTGCAGTAGTTGCTGATGTAGAAGCAATGTTCCATCAGGTTCTAGTGGAACCAAAGGATCGGGACGCATTGCGATTCTTATGGTGGCCAAATAAAAACCTTTCTGGAGAAATGGAAGAATACCGAATGACGAAACCTTTATTCGGAGCAACGTCTTCTCCAAGTATAGCCAATTTCTGTTTGCGTAAGACAGCCGAGTTGTATCAACAAGAATACGACTCACTAGCAGTAGAAACGGTGAAACGTAACATGTATGTCGATGACTTGATGAAATCAATAAGCGAACCAGAGAAAGAAATAAGTTTAGCGAGTCAATGGCGTCAACTATTGAAAAGGGGAGGATTCCGTCTTACAAAATGGTACAGCAATAGTAGGAGCTTAATAGCAACGATTCCCGAAACTGAGAGAGCAAAGTCCGTAAAGAATTTAAAATTGGATAAGCTTCCCACAGAAAGTACTCTTGGAATAAAGTGGAACACAGAAGAAGTCATGTTTGTGTGGGTTGTTGCTGAAAGAATGTTGCAGTTAGAAAACGAAGGTCCCGTCACTCGACGGAAGATAGTGTCAGCAGTATATTCGCTTTTCGATCCCTTAGGCCTTATTGCTCCGTTCGTTATGAAGGCGAAGTTAATACTGCAAATGCTTTGTAGAAAGCGACTTGGATGAGATGATCACATTCAGGCGAACGAACTTTCGCAATGGAAACGTTGGGTAGCTGATCTCCAAAAGCTACGAGAAATTCGGGTCCGCCTCTGTTTTAAACCTGCAGGATTCAGAGAAGTTAAAGATGTGAGTCTACATATTTTCCCGACGCCTCTCGACTTGGCTATTCGGCAGTGGCATATTTGCGTCTAAAGAATGCAAACAACGAAACACACTGCTCATTTGTAATTGGGAAGGCTAGACTCGCTCCGTTAAGGGAGATTTCCGTAAGACTTTCAAATATTATTCAAGAAGAATTGGATATGGTAGTGCAAAAGAGTTTGTTACTGGACAGATTAAATGTCAGTCCTCAAATGTATTAACAACGAAAGCAAAAGATTTCACACATTCGAGTACAACCGTTTGTCAGTGATTCGTAGTGGATCGCACCCATCCGAGTGGAATTACGTGAACCGGGACGATTCCAAGGGCATTAGATTGGACGTGTTGAGAAATGAAGGCCAATGGTTAAAAGGTCCTGAAATTTGAAGGAAGCTCAAATTTACGTGACTGCAGAACAGCCTCACTTGTTAGATATGTTGATTTCACGCCACTCCATTTGGTGGAAGTTGAGGAGTTGTGTTGCTTGGTTGTTACGTTATAAGGATTGTCTTCTTAGCACGGCGAGACAAAGGAAAGTTATTTCTGGTCCTCATTTGGAATCGAAATTTAAAGTTGGACGACTAACAAAGGAAGAATTGGATGTCGCCGAAAGGGAGATCTTCGCACATGTACGGAACACCACATTCTCTCAAGAACTGAAACTGTTTGCAGTTCCAGGAAATAGTAAGGTGCTTGACAAGGCACTACTCAAAAAGTCAGGAATATCCATTCGACAATTATATCCAATGATGGTGAACGGCTTACTAAAGGTTGGAGGCAGGCTTGATGATGCCACGTCAACATCAAGCTGAAGTAGGTCATATGGGTTAAGAATCCGTTTTATCATAATTAAGAAAGGAATTGGGGATAATTAAAGGAAGAACAGCAGTTCGACGCATTGTACGAAGTTGCCTGGCTTGTCAAAGAAGAAAGGCTCGTTTGGGTGAGCAGCTAATGTCAGATCTACCAGAAAGCCGAGTGACACCTCAAAACCTCCTTTTACTAATGTAGGAATCGATTATTTTGGACCCATGCTGGTGAAAAGAGGTAGATCATTGGAGAAAAGATATGGCTGCCTTTTCACATGTTTCACGACCCGAGCCATCCATATAGAAATAGCTCATTCCTTGGATACAGACTCGATGATCAACGCTCTCAGGAGATTTATAAACATGCAAGGATGTCGCGAGCAAATCAGGAGTGATAGAGGAACAAATTTTGTGAGTTCTAAAAAGGAATTGAACAAAGGAATTGAAGAATGGGATCAAAGTAAAGTGGACAAATTTAGTATGCAAAGAAGAATTAAGTGGCACTTTAACCCGCCTTCAATGAGCCATATGGGAGGCGTACGGGAGAGAATGATACGATCTGTTAGACAAATGCTCAAAGCAATTCTCAAAGATCAAGTAGTTTCAGACGAAGTCCTGCAAACCGTGATTGCAGAGGTGGTTCTAATCCTGTATTCAAGAGCTCTCACGCGCAACAGTGACAGTCCTGAGGATGACGATCCTCTGACTCCAAACCACTTACTGCATTTACGAGCAAATACTAGTTTACCCCCGGGGATTATTTGACAAAAATGATTTGTGCTGTAAGAAGAATTGGAAGCAAGCTCAATATGTGGCAAATGTTTTTTGGCGTAGATGTCTTAAAGAATACTTGCCAACATTAATGGAGAGAAAGAAATGGTATACACCGAGACGGAATCTTAGAGAAGGAGATCTAGTACTTGTAGCTGACGAAAACTACCCAAGGGACAATGGCCGTTAGGTCTCGTTATTGAAGCAATAGCAAGTAATGACGGTAATATGCGGACAGTGAAGGTTAAAACTAGTTCAACAGTATCAACCAGAGCCAAACATCAACGAAAGGGCGATTACAAGATGAACACGGTAACCTTGATCCGTCCCGTGACTAAATTATGTCTACTTGAGATGGACAAGTGAAGTTTATATATCTAAATAATTTAGAATTTGAGAGTAATGTTGTTAATATAGTAAATGGTTTGAACATGGGTGTATCGTTAGATGTTTGAAAATGTAGATCGTCCAGGTTGGTATAGTCCTGAGAAGGACTGTTTTTGTTGTTGTTGACTGACGTTTCAACAACCTCAGCGGTTGTCATCTTCAGAGTCATTTTGTAGTTATGTTCTTGTTGTGTTATTCAGATTTAACGGTAGCTTAATATGGTTGTAAATGGATTGCCACGTTGCAATTTCCATTTAGGGGCCGGTGTGGCTACCATATGAATTGCCGCTTTGTACGGAATTGGGAGCAGGAAGTGACGTTTGAAAGGGTGTTGTTGTTTAGTTAGAGTAATAGACAAATTGTTGTTGTTGAATCTTGTACGTAACCAAACCGACTTTAACGTAATTTGAAGATAGTTATTTGAAATTAATTAATTTGTAATTTGGTTTATTTCATTAAATTTTTCATTAAAGTTGTATGACGACTTGATAGTAAACAACCTTTCATGCATTAAGAATGATTTGATGGAGAAATTAGAGAGCAAAGAAAAATGCTGGCGTTATTAAGTTTTCGACACAGGTTTCAGCAAGAGTACTCCAAATTCAAGCATGATCATACAGTTAAGCAGTCAGGGGGAGTGCAAAATGATAAGTGCAAGTTTATAAAGGAAAGAAAGTCAGATGTGAGTTTACTAAGCAAGATGAAGACAAAAAATCACCAAGGTATGGTGCAACAGTTTGATGCCATGAAGGGCAAATTCATTTAAGTCTTTCACAAAGGTGCAAATCACTGGATATGTATTAGTAGCATTCATTGTAACCAAAAGAATGCTGTTAAACTCTACAACAGCATGTACATAGGAATTAGTAATATTATTTAAAAGCAAATGGCTAGTCTTTTATACCTTCAGTCAGAACATGTAATTGAAATTTCAATTGAGCCAGTCACACAGCAGACAAATGGATATGACAGTGGTGTATTTGCCATTGCTTTTGCTTCATCATTGTGTTATGGACAGGATCCCAGCAAGGTAACCTTCAAAAGACGAAATATCCGAAGTCACTTGTGGAATTTTTTTACCCAAGGCAAGCTACATATGTTTTCATCTGTCCCAAGAATGTCAAGCAATGAACAAACATCCAACACGGTACTAGCACCAATTTACTGTAGATGTGACCCTCCATATGTCAGCAAGGAAGATGAGATGGTTGAATGTGTCTGTTGTCAGAGGTGGTTTCATAAAAGCTGCCTTAATGTCCAAGAGCTATTTTTTTAAAAAAACAGGAATCAAATGGAAATGTAATCCACATTGTGATCAAAAGAAATAAAAACAGGTTAAGTGTGTTATGAGATTGATAATGAAAGTCAATTCATATTCTGAATTATTAGTACTTTTAACATTTTTGCAAGTAATTATAATTATAGTTATGTTGTATTTTTCGAGATGTAATAAAGGTCCGAGTGTATTATAAGAAAAGATATTATTGCAAATGCGCGTAGTTATTGACAGGTTTTGCAAAATTTAATTTTATATATGCTGCTAATTTCAGTCAACTATCCAGTTTTTAATACATTTTATGTGTGAACGAACACAATGCAATCTAAAACTGTTAAATAACAAGTCTATTGGAAAATATACGTACAATGTAATTGGCTATATATATTATAAGTCTATTGGAAAATATAGGCTCCATATAATGCACTATACAATATGACAAAATGGAAGTCACAACAGCAAAATCATATGTCAATGGTTTCTTTCAAGCAATTCATATGTAATTCAAAGTAGATGCCATGACAATAGTTGCTCATTTAATCTCACCTTGATAGTGTCTGCTCCTTTCATTCTACACGTACATAAAAGAAATATAACCTTTCAGTACCTATGTCTATTTGAGATATGTCAATTTTCGGTTCAAACCTCAGGCTCTTAAGATTTATCAATTTTCGGAAAACAGGCTCTCTCGATCTCGGCCATATCTCGGCCATAGCGTCGGTGTTCTGGGTATCCTCACCATTGGACGAAAATTCATGGAACGCCACCTGTAGTAATTTTTTGAAACCGTGATTTTACACCAGACACGCGTGTAGTGTTTCAATGGCTTCAATTATTTGCTTGAGGTAGCGTTCCATGTATTTTAGTTCAATGATCCTCACGGGGATGCCCATTGAGTTCTATGATAACTGAAGGGGCTATCTCAAGCGCAGCTTTAGATATCGGAGACTGTCGAAAAAATGACGGATTTGTTCTTCTACCGCTGAGATTTACTAAAAAATACTGCTTTTCAGAAAATTTCACAATTTTTCACTCCCCCTCAAGAAAGAGCAAGGACTAAATGATGTACGTCGTTTTTTTACCAACGTCAAACTTGTTGGCTCGATTTAACTCTCTAGTCTACACAAAAAATTATGCCATAGTTTATCAATCGGGGTTCACGATCGAGACAAAAGTTAGCTTATTCGTTGTTATTACTTTTTTGCATCTTTTCATGCATTATGCAATGGCATTTTTCGTCACAATTCTAGGATTTGGGTACTTGTTGCTTGATAAAAATAAATAATAAATCATTTTTGTTATTTACGGTTTGACTTATTGTATATGATTTTCTGTAATTGAATTTCATATTACATTTCAAAAAGACTCAAGTTTGCATAAGTTTGATAAATAAAAACAATTAATATTGTATGCAAATCACTAAGTAACCTTTTTGTGATGTTTTGAAGTGGAACTGAATTAAATACTTGTAAATTTGTAGCACATTTTGATTTTGTTGTATCGATTTATGAATTGGGGAAAATGCAAATAATCATGAAAACACTTTGCCTGCAATGGTGTTTATAATTCAATTGTGTAAATTCAATACTTCTACCGTTCTTTTTCTCTTTGTTTTTTTC